TTCAGATTGAGATTTTAATTGTAATGATAGCAAGTTGAGAAAGCTTTAATAATTAGATGGATATTTTCTATATAAATTGTAAATTAAGTGATTAACATATAACCATACTTGGCTCTGGGTACTATGTCACGCTATCTATGTCACATGACTGTGAACATCTTCCATGTCAGCGTGAAGTCTGAGAAAGTGCTTCATTATTTCCTTGGGATTGCAGAATAAGTTTTGTCGATATGATTGATTTATGTTAATATTTAAACCATTTATTATTTTTCTAAAAATAATAATGATTGTTGCGCTGATGCTGAAATTGTCCAATAATGACAATTGGATCTGAAATTTTAAATTTTGAAGAAATGTTTCTTTAGCCTTTTTTAGGGTTGGTTATATTTAAGGTAGGGCTAGAGTTCAGATAGCCACCAATTTTGCTGTTTTTAGTTTTATAAAAATTTATTATAAGATTATGAACAAATAAATCGGATATCTAGATATCCGTTAAATTTAAATATGCAATGATTAGACGGACCCCATCTTTAATTTAGGGTTAGAGTTTATAACAAGAGTCTATATGGATTTTGTAGGAATTATATTTTCGAAATAGAGACCGAATTTTCGGCTTCAGCGTTAGCCGCGACAATTGTTTAAGATTCAAGCTAATAATGTCGATGGCAAGCAACTATGTAAATTGAAGCGAAATGGTCAAAGGTACAAGTTGGATTCGAATTTAAAATTTTAGATTTCTATATAGAAATTCTAAATTTTAAATTTCGAATTTAAGTTTTAATTAGTATATTTTCATTGATTAACTCAATAGTGATAGTAATCTTCATTTACTATTTTAAATTTTTTTTTTTTTTTGTTTTCTAGTTTTATTAACTGGTTTTTTTCTTGGATCCAGTTTATTGACTTTCATACAGTGAATTGACCATATTAAAAATTATTCAAAAGGAGAAAAAAGCAAAGATCAAGGATAATTAGATGTTCTTAAAAAGGAAAAGAAAAATAGAAATTTTAAAAGGCGAATGGAAGCAATAGTTAGAAGTAATGATCGTTTAAAAATAGAAGGCTTTACCATAAATTTTGTATGAATTCTAAACAAAGGATATTAAACCAAGTTACCAAAGGGCAGTCAAGTTATTATATTTTAAAATTTAAAGCGAGCAGATATTTTTTTTACACTGAGGCTATAAAATTTAAAGTTACTATAATTGGATTTTAAGAAATATCATAATCAAAATCTTAATACAACCCAAAATGCAATTTAACTTTAAGTTGAATAAGAATTTAAATAAGTTAATCAAAATCTTGATCTGGATAATTAACGTATAAACGACAAGTAAAATATTTTTATCATAAAATTTTATTATAAGAACGATAGGTGGTGGCGTAATAGATAAATTTTCGACATTGGGCAAATTTCATAATAAAAAAACAAATAAATAAAAAGAACTAAAGAAATAAATGCATGAGTGATTCATTTTGGCAATGGTTTTCGCATTGCAAATTGATCTGATCTGATAAATTGATTAATCCAAATGACAAATGATAAATTACATCAAAAAAATTACAATATGTAGTTGAATTATTTCAAAACGAAAACGGGGTATAAAACTGTGATCAAAATATTTTTTTTATGTCATAGAAAAACATCACCAATCAACAATATATTCGACGTTCAGGTATTATTATTCACGTTTATGTATTATCATTTTTAATGTATTTATAAGGATTGGGTTCAGAATTAGATTACCAGTTAATTTTTCAACTTTAAAGTATTATATTCCCGAATTGGGGATTAATTTATATATTTAATTAGTACGCACGTGCCGAGGATTAATTAAAAAAATTAGTCAATCAATATATATAAACGATAAATATTTTTTCGAAAAAAAACCGATTTATATCAATTAATTTTTTTGTGACCATTAATTTCAACTTTAGCTTTAAAAAAAATGGACGATCAAACTTCAAACATTACCACATCAATTCCTCATCTTGAATTGCCTCTAAAACGATTTCAAATAATCAAAAAATTACTCAAAGAGTATTTATTCAGCGACGTCAATAAAAATCATGAAGAGATTTCTAATCTTTTAGATGAAGTTCGAGAGACCAAAATTTGGCAACATGCAGGTTACGAAAGTTTTTACAAGTTTTGCCAAGAAGTTATTGGCCAAGATATTGAAACCATTATAAACACTTATAAGTCTGTTAAAAAAAGTGTTTACGCTGATCAAAATGCGAAGTATGAGATCAGAGTATTAAAACTTAAACGTAAAATGAGAGAATTGGAGTTTAATGAAGTATTAATTGGTAAAATTACAGAATATCCAAGGGATGCATTACATTTAATCATTAGATTTTTCAATAGATTCTCGAAACATGAAAGGCTTTCGATATTGGTTGATAATTTAGATTACCAAGTGAATTTGTGGAGAAGTCTTAGATCTAAAAGAAAATCAAGGACAAATACACCCATCAATAAGGACGATGTAAAAGCGGCAATTGATATGGTTGAACGCATGGAAAGTATGAAAGCGGTGGAAACAGAAAGGAAAATGAAATATAAAGAACAGGCTAGAAAAGAAAGTGATAGTAGTGATGAGACTATAAGAGAGGAGATGGATGATGGTTTTATATCCACTGATTTAGTAGAATTGGAAAGCCCAGGAGAATCAAGCGAAGGAAATGAATGTAGCTGGTGCGATCTGATAGGTGGAAGTGTTTTGAAATGTGGGCAGTGCGCAAATGGAAAGTGTGTTGAATGCACAATGGAAGAGATCAGCAGGGATCATAACAATTTGGCTATCGTAGATAAGTATTATTGGGGTATGCTCAAACGACATGCAAAAGAGTTTGCAGAAAAAAACCTTAAAGAGTGATATGCTTTGTCTTTGGCTTGCATATAAATAAAAGCAAACCAATCATAACGCATATTCAGCAATATGCATGTTATAAAATCACAGTATTTATTTGTAAAATGGTATAAAATGTTGGCTTTTTTTCAGTAATCTTTCAGTGACATTCAAAAGTTTACAAGCGCACCCATCAACTTTCAAGGTTGACAAGAGTTTGTCTTGCATCCTTCCCAAATAAAAAACTTTGTCTTACACCCTTTCCCAAAGAAAAATTTCAAAAAAAAAGAAAAAAAATTTTTAATAAACCTTAGAAAAGTTTATTAAGGTCGGAAGTCATGTGACTGTGCAGTAGAATCGTCCCAATGATCGCCGCGGCCAGGGGCCTGCGGAATTTGTAACAATTGTGTTTTCGATATCAGCAAATTATTTGATTTATATAGAAAATATCCATCTAATTATTAAAGCTTTCTCAACTTGCTATCATTACAATTAAAATCTCAATCTGAA